TAGATAGATAGATAGATAGATAGATAGATAGATAGATAGATAGATAGATAGATAGATAGATAGATAGATAAAGATGAAATTCCTTGTAATGAATATTTATAACCCAGTCGAGCCTTGTTTTAATGAAAGGATGGGAAGTAGGCCACAAATCACTTTAATATGCCTTAATGATCATCTCACGTTATACGGTGTGAACATGGCTGAAAATTAATCCAACATTATGGGCTGGGATGTTCTGCACACGGGCTCTTCCTCTGCGTTCCCCACAGGCCCAGAGGGAGAGCAGCCCACTTGCTTGTAGGGATTCGCTGGTGTCTTTGGCTGGGAACTTCAACTGATGCGTCTGAACACCTTTCTGTTCTGGAGAGGTGGTGCCACAACTTTGCCCCAATGCTCGGCAGCAGAGTGTTCTCCTGGCACCACCTTTCAGCCCTCTGGAAAAGATGCCAGAGAGAGCAAAGGGGCCAAAGGAGGCATCCTTACTCCCCTTGAAGAGGCCTCCGTGCTCTCCACTACCTAGGCCCTCTTCTATAGAACAGGAATGGGAATGGGAATGGGAATGGGAATAGAATAGAATAGAATAGAATAGAATAGAATAGAACATGGAAGGGAATAGAATAAAATAGAGAATAGAATAGAATATGGAAGGGAATAGAATAGAATAGAGAATAGAATAGAGACTAGAATAGAATAGGAATAGGATTTAGAATAGGAATAGGAATAGGAATAGGAATGGCATGGCATAGAATAGAATAGAATAGAATAGAATAGAATAGAATAGAATAGAATAGAATAGAATAGAATAGAATATGGAAGGGAATAGAATAAAATAGAGGTTAGAATACAATTCTTTATTGGCCAAGTGTGATTGGACACACAAGGAATTTGTCTTTGGTGCAAATGCTCTCAGTGTACATAAAAGAAAAGATACATTCGTCAAGAGTCAAGAATCATCAGGGACAACACTTAATAAGAGTCACAGGGTACAATAAGCAATCAAATCATACTATAAAACAGTCAATATACAAGGATATTGTAAGGATACAAGTGACAAAGTTACAGTCCTACAGTCATAAGTGGGAGGGGATGGGTGATCAGGAGTGATGAGAAGATTAATAGTAATATTAGTGCAGACTTTGTAATAGTTGAGGGAATTATTTGTTTAGTTCGGGGAAAAACTGTTCTTGGGTCTACTTGTTCTGGTGTGCAGTGCTCTATAGAGTCGTTTTGAGGGAAGGAGTTGAAACAGTTTATGTCCAGGATGTGAGGGGTCTGTAAGTATTTTCACAGCCCTCTTTTTGACTTGTGCAGGATACAGGTCCTCGATTGAAAGCAGGTTGGTAGCAATTGTTTTTTCTGCAGTCCTAATTATCCTCTGAAGTCTGTGTCTGTCCTGTTGGGTTATAGAAGCCAAAATGATTTTATCATCTTTGGGTTTATATTGTTTGGGAAGAAAGATCCCATTGAGAAAAAGTGCAGGGCCAAAAAAGCAGTGTAGCTTCTTTCTCAGTACAACGAGGCAGTTATTTTGAGTAACTTAACCACAGTGATAATTCTTTTATGTAAATGACATTAACAGCTATTTCCGAAGCAGAGAGATGGAGCCATTTTAAGTGGAGAAGCTCCCTGCAACCATTTCTAAGCCTGTGGGCATGAAAATTATTCTGGGGATAATTCATAGGGAAAAAAATAACAGACAGGGCTTGGAACAAGAGTAGTGTAATAAAAAGGAATTATATGCTGAGCTAGTGCATAAAATATGGCTGAAATCCCTGCCCAGCTTCCGTTTCCTAAGGTGGATGATAAATCTATAAAGTCAGGGCCTTTCTGGGGGGGGGGTCAAAGGTCAGCAGGGTGGTTTGTGTTGAGCACACCGATGCTTGCAGCATGTCTGTGTGTGGGTCACAGGTAGCCAGAGATTTAATGGGGGCTTCTTGTAGGCATCTCTGTGGGTCTAGAAAGGGATATTGAACTGATATCTTGGAACGTCAGGCTGGGATTTCTTCTAAGCCAAAGAAGCGGTAGAACCCAGGCCTCCAATTTTTGAGTGATGGCAACCTCATTGGTAGCCAGTGAAGGACTGACCCAGCATGCCTCCCTCCCCCAGGAAGGGCCCCGCAGGAGTTGTCCATGGGACCTCAGTGGGTGTAAAGCGACCCATGCAGTCAGTTTGTTAGATCAGCTCCTGGCTTTCAAAATGTACCAGGAAACAGGGTTCCCTCCTGGAGCTTCACCCCTGATTGCTCGGGTGCAGCTCCACTGCTTGATGCAGTTGGTTTCCAGAGGGCTATGCAGAGCCCTTCAGAGGAAGGTCCTTTGGCTGCATCTTCCAGAGAGGTTGGAATTGCATCCCTGGAGGTTGACGCACTCTGGGGCCAGTTCTCCTGCCTGTTTGCATGAACGTTTGGGCTGAGCTGGAGAGGCTTTGTCAAAGGCTGCAGCATAACAGACTCACATTGGAGCATGGGAGCCACGTGCCAGCAATAAACAAGCCCTTGAGAGGTGTTTTCCAGCAGAAATGTCTGGAGCTACGTGGAGAAACCTGAAGTTGGCGGGGGGGGGGGGGGGAAAGCCTGGGCACAATGGCTTTCAGCAAAAAAGCAAGAAATGGGAAATATGGTCTTGGAAATGTTTAAACTCTCCATCTTGGGGGCCTCTGGTTTTACAATGAAGTCAGGACTTCTCGGGGTCATAAAAAAAGGGCCTGAAGCTGCAGGTTGCAAAAGTGACTAGGTGGACAATTCCACCAGCAGTTTGTAGCTGCAAAGGATAGGTTTCATCGTAGAAGCAGAATGATCATTTGTAGCTGGAAGATCTACCCAAGATTGGTTGAAGCTGCTGCTATCATTAGTCTAGTCTGCTGGACTTTGCACTGATAGGGCCATTTGGCACCTCTCCAGCCTTGGTTTGAGGCTCTAGATGGGCAGCCCTGTGGCCATGGGCCAGCCACACAACCAAAGTGGGGGAGGACGGTGATTATGTTCCACCTCCAGAGGATGGTCCGATGCTGCTCCCTAAAGAGTAGAAGCTCTGCCCTCCCTTCACAGATGACTAGGAAGAATGCGACTGTGTGCTTTGAGCCCAGAGCTCCAGCCAGTCTCTTCCCTGCTTGTGAAGTGGTAGCGATGGGGCCTGCGTGGAGAGGGACATGTATGGGACATGTGATC